TAGCAGCTTGCTGTGCTTAATTGGAACCTGTGCTGTGCATTACAGAGATACTTGCTGACACTACTAAAGCACACACTGAGGAAACAAGTTTCATTTGTACTCAGGAAAAGAAGGAAAAGAACATTTCTTACACCAGCAGAACCCTCTCTGATCTGTTCCCTCAAGTCTCAGTCCTTTCTCTCCCTTCACATCTTCTGATTTCTTACCACAGAATCACTCAGGGCAAATGGATCATTTGCAACATCAGTTCAAAGTACATTAACACTGAATTTAGAAATTGCTCCAAGTTTTACCCATTAAGGCTTTGGAAATCTTTGGGAACAGAGATTCCATAGCTTTTCAGGGCAACCTGCTTCAATGCCTGACTGTCCCTATGATAATGATTTTTTCCTTTTGTCAAGTTTGAACTTCCCAGTTTGATTTGAGCTCGTTGTCTCTTCTGAAACAGCTGTAGACCTCTGAAAGGGTATGTCTCTGTTTTCTTGACAACCTCTTTGTGTTGTAAGGCTGCTATTAGGACCCCCTTGCCTCTTCTATGGGCTGGGCAGACCCACTTCCCCCCGTTCCAAATTGTAGGGCAGATGTGTGCTCCGCTCCAACTATCCCCTTGCCTTTCAAAGGACTTCCTTCAAGTTTCTCACTATCTTTCTTGTATTTGGGGTATAGTGTGCCAAAACTGGATGCAGTGTCCCTCATATACTCTGAAATGTGCCAAAGAAAGAGAATAAACCCTTCCTGTAATCTACTGGATAATAATTAGGTATGCTGCTAACTTTCATCTCTGACACGACTCATCATGGAGTCAACATGACTTATTTCTAGCTTGCTTTACGGCAAGAACTATTGGCTCTTTTCCACAAAGCTGCAATCTTTGCCTAACTTCATTTAGTTACCGGACTTTTCAGATACAGATCCTTTCATGCACTTGTCTTTCTCTTCCATCACAAATCCTAATTATCTTCCCTCCAGTCTCTTTACTCCAAATCCAAATCTAGTTTGTTTCTCCCCATCACCTCTAAGATCTATGCAATCTGCAATTCCATGAAATACTTTCTACATCAGATATTTAACTTCTCTCTTCCCTGTGTTTGCATCTTCCTTCTGTCTGCTGCCCAGACTGAGCTTCAAAGACAACCTCAGATCTTACTAATGGTTCAAACCAAAAGACTAAGCCAAGAGGTGAAACTACTGCAAGTATTCCTCCCTTCATTGATGAAAATTCCATGGAGACAATATAGTCTTTAAATGAACAAGCATAAAACATCCTTCAGAAGCACACACCTTGGTCAAGTGTGAGTACACAAAAAAAGACAAGAGGAAAGGATGAAAAAACAGCAATCCTGCTTAAAACAAAGAGAAACCCACATTACACACATTTCTTCTACTTTCTTCTACTATTGCATATGCTGAGCAATTTGAGAAATACTCAAAAGCAGAAGACCCTTATGTGTGACTGCACATTACATATTTTCATTTTAAATTTCATGTTTCAAAGCAGTGATGTATCTGTCAACTGTCCATCATTAGCAAGGAAATTATAGAATATCCGAAGTCGGAAGAGATGCAAAAAAAATCTTTGAGTCCAACTCCTGGCATACAGCACCACTCAGTGTTCAAACCCTATGTCTGAGAGTGCTATCCAAATGCTCCTTGAACTGCAGCAGCCTAGGGTAATGCCCACCACCCTCTGATGAAGGACCTTTTCCTAACCCGCAACCTGATCCTCCCCTGACACAGCTCCATGCCATTCCCTCATGTCACTGTCACCACAGAGCACAGAGTTGCTGTGGAGCTGCTACGAGGCCTCCCCTCAGCTTCCTCTGCTCCGGGCTGAACACAGTAAGGGACTTCAGCTGCTCCTTGTACATCTTGCCCTCTAGACCCTTTACCTTCTTCATAGCCCTCTTTTGGACACCCTCTAATAATTTTATGTCCTTCCTATACTGTGCCACCCAAGCCTTCACCCAGTGCTGGAGGTGAAGCTGTACAGTGCAGAGCACAGCGGGACCAGCACTTCCCTCATCCGGTGGCAGTGTTCTATCTGATGCAACCCAGTGTATGCTTGGCCTTTTTGGCTGCCTTGGCACGCTGCTGCCTCATGCACAACTTGTCCTCAGTCAGAACACCCAGATCCCTTTCTCTGGGACTGATCGTCAGACTCTCATCCCCCAGTTTATACATAGATCCAAGGTTGCCTCGTGACAGGCGCAGAACTAAGCACTTGCTTTTGTTAAACTTCGTGCAGTTGATGATTCCCCAGCTCTCTCGTCTGTCAAGTTCTCTGCAGAGACTCTCTGCCCTTCAGAGGTTCAACAGTTTGTTTCAATTTGGTGTCATCCACAAACTCACTTCATGTACCATCATGTCCTGCATCCAAACCACTGATGAAAACATTAAAAAGTACTGGCTCTGAAATAGAGCCCTGTGGAACACCACTAGTAACAGGCTGCCAGCCTGACATAACCCCAGGTTCTATAACACAGTGAGCCTAAAAGAATGATACGATTGCACATGTCCATGAAAATGTACTGGAAACAAAATATTCAAATCCCTTATGTTTGCAATGATGCTGCTTATCACATGAATAACACAAACATATTACTTGCAGTTTGTTGCATTTGCAGGAACAAATGTTCAATGTCCTTAACAAGAGTGTACTATATGAATCAGCTCGATACTTCTTATTACCTACCATATATTTAAATACCATTTATCAAATGCAGGAAGTTCCAGCAACTCCCACAAACTGAAACATAAATACAATTGTGGTTTGAATGTATTTTGCTATCTCATCTATCATCAGTTTGTTAGCAGAACCATCAGGAATTAGTTATTCGCCTTTTCTTCCTGCCTTAGTCTGAAAATGCTGGCCTTTTAAACTTCAACCTTGCAGAAGCAGGTCAATTTTAAGAAGACAAGTTTTCTCAGGAAGCCAGAAGCAAACTAGCCCAACAACAAAATCAGTAGAGATATCTGACCAATCTGTTGACTAGCACTGTCTGTACACATGCATATTTTTTGGGAAAATTAAAGATCACTCCCATTCCACTGTAGGAAGGGAGCAGTTTTTGAAATCTTTCCTCTCAGAGTCATGCCCCAAGCCCTTTTCAAAGTTCTGCACTGACCATGTTTGCTAGCATCAGAAGGAAGAAGTACAGTTAGGAAAAGCAGCAGTGACAACAGCAGATTTTGCTTCACAGACTTTATGCCAGATGCTTAAAATGCATATATAATACATAGCAAATATAAAATATTTAAAATATTACTTTATTAAAATAAAGTATCAAAGCTACATCTTATATAGTGCCAGTCCACTGTGTTTCAGAATTGACTTACATGAAGGATATACGAGCCTACTAAAATCCTAGGGAAAACTTACATACCAAAAGGTAATTTTGCACATTTAAACATTGAGTCTAAGGGAAAACAATAACTTTTTTATAACTTTTTTTTTTTTTTCTCATATAAACATTCTACACTAAAACTAAAATATCTGATTCAGGATTCTGTGCACCTCTTTAATGTACTTCAGTAATAAGAGCCAGCTTGGTGCATGCTAATAACTGCTTTATTTACATGCAGCATCACACAAACTTCGGCTGAACTGGGGACTCCAGTAGAGGATTTCAGACCTCTTTCTTGAAAACTTAGTATTGCAGTTGCAAAATAATAATAAAATTCAGTTTTACCTCCAGGATACATAAATAAAGAACAGATATTTTTATATATTTGTATACAGAGGTCTTTCATACATTTTGAAAACTTAGGCCTCACAAAAATCTTGGTACAGTAACCCAGTGCACATACCCTTGTTGCTGAAATGTCTTTTGGATGCACAGAGGAGTTGAATTAATTCTTTCATTAGTTCACCACAGTCCATAACCCCTAGCTTCAAATCTGTTTTATTTATTTTCTATCACCTTAAGAACTCAATCAAATCAGTCAGCACTATTTATAAAAACAGGCAAGGATACTGCAGTATACAAAGCAACTTTACTAAATGAGATTTTATGACAAAATTCTCAATATCTAAAAATACATTTTCAAGTGAAGCACAATTCAATACTATGGCTCTTATTGTTTTACCCATTTCAGTATCACGTTCATATTTCTTTGCAGACCAGTGGTATAAGTATTCAATGTTTTAATTACAGTAGCTCCTAGAAGCCCTGAACCACACTTTTAGATGCAGTACATGGGGATTTTTGGGTGGAGAAAGAAAAAAATCTCATCATCTGAACAATGTGAACAGATAAGAGGGAACAAAAAAAAAAAATCTGTCCTTCTACAGATCTGCTTTTGTGTTGGTTGCCTGTTTTTTCTTTTTCTTTCTTTCTTTCTTTTCTTTTTTTTTCCCATAGAATCATAGAAATGTTGAGCTGGAATGGACCTCTAAAGGTCATGTAGTCCAGCTACCCCGCAATGGACAGAGACACCTACAGCTGAATAAAATTGCCCAGAGCTCTGTCCAGTCTGATCTTGAATGTCTCCAAGGATGGGGCATCCATGTCATCTCTGGGCAACCTGTGCCAGTGCTTCACCACCCTAATTGTAAAAAAAAATTCTTCTTTATATCCAGTCTAAATCTCCCCTTGTTTTGTTTGAAACCATTTTCTCTTCTCCTGTCACCACAGACTCTGCTAGAGAGTCTGTCCCCTTCTTCCTTACAGCCTCCTCTAAGAGACTGAAAAGCTACTATCAGGTGTCCCTGGAGCCTCTTCTTCAAAACTGCACAGAAGTATCTATATCTATCCTAGTGATTGAGGCCAGATCTATGGGCAATAAATGTATTTTATTAGTTGTATGGCTGGTTCCATGTTTGTTGGATTTTTCACAGTATCCCTTTGCATGGATAATAGCAAAAGCAGGACAAATACAACAAATATGTATGCAGCAATATTTCCATTGGATAAGCTATCCAAAAGAAGATAATATATTATACCTAGTTGCCAAAGGCTCATATATGGTGTATATACTTTCATATTTATATATATATATACTGCATATATATATTTATACACACAGAATACACATATATATATGAGTGCAGAAATTATGAAGTCAGAAATCCAATTTGTCCTACTGTACTGAGCCTAATTTCATCATGTTTCTTTCTATGCTCAACTTGTTTACATACATGCATGCACATATTCCCTGAGATTGAGGTGTTAAAGCATTTTATATATCTTATTTCCTGTAAAACTCATCTTAATTAGTAAATACTAATAGATTTTAGTAATGTCCTTTTGTCCTCAGGGAAGAAGCAAGGCAGTGGCAACCATTCTACATACTTAGGAGCTTTTGCTTCATTATCCTGTGCTTTTAGATTTTTTTCCTTCCCAAAACAAATTTCTATGTCAAACTAAGAAACAAACAACAAAAATAAACAGAAACTAGGTGACACCACTCTATTGTGATGAATAATATAGTTTCATTATCCTTCCTTGTACTCTATGCTTCAGGGTAGAAGCTTTTTTTTTTAAGGCTTTTTGTTTGTTTGTTTGTTTGTGAAACAAAGCAAAGTAAGATGCAATTGTGTTTTAGGTTTCCATTTCTGTATAAAAACAGAATGGTCCTGTGTTCACGCTATACTTTATGTTCAACTCTTTCTTTGATTTGCTTCACTGAAATTACTTCAAAGCCAAAAAACCACGGCCTTACAGCTGTTGTTGAGAGTCTCCCATTGTGTAAAATAAATTGTCTTTCTGGTAATCACGTGACGTTTTTATCTTACAAGTACGTCTGGTCTACTTCCTGTTTTGGGTTTGCTTATTAGACCAAAGAATAGATTTCAGAAGCTGATGGAGGAAGGAAAGAGACTGAATTGGCAGTTATAGGAGAATTCAGTTTCTTTTTTCTTTGACAAATGCATTGGAAGAAGAAGAAAATTGCACTAAGCATAGTTACAAAAATAAAGGGCTTCAGAGGAGTCTAACTGCACCAAAAAAAGTACCATCTCCATCCAAGGATATTTTAGCTCTTCTTCGTGGTATTGTAAGTTGAAGCTCATCTCCTTCTTCTAATTTTGCAATGCCTGACAAAAGATTTGGAATATTTTTAGTTAATATTTCACAGACATTATTGTCATAAAAGTTCTTGAAAACGTCATTGCGTATCGTCAAAGAAATCTAAGCATGGCTTGTTACTTGTAACAAGTGCTCGTTTTATCTTTAGGCACAACCTTATGTAGTTCAGACCACCCAAACCTTACACTTGACAGCCTCTGTGGAGCTGGACCCACCTTCCTTTCCTTAGCAATTCCATTCTGTACTCAGTGCGTCAGTTCACTTAAGCAAACGCTGCCAAAAAAAACCCAAATCACATAACTGCAGTGCGCCCAGATTGCACATCTTATGGTGATGTGGCAGCCAGGTCAGCACTGGGCACTGCTGGTCCTAGATGGCTCTGTTCCCACGCTTATGGGGGAGATTTCATCAGCTTTACCAACCCAAGTGAAGTTAGCAGACATCAGGTGACCCAGTGCAACTGCAGAACTCAGAAGTCTATTTCCTTCAAGCCACACATCAGCTGATGTGATAACTGAAAGCACATAGCTTTCATGCTGCAGTCACTGAACTGGGAGCAAAGGTGACTTCTGCAGCAATACATGCTCAACAGCACGAGACGCTGCAACAAGATTTGGTTTTCCAGGTGAAAGCAAGTGGTGGGAAAGCAAGAATCATGAAGTGGCAGGATGGAGTAGAGATCTTAGTTAAGAAAGAAATGGTGCAGGTAGGGAGCATAATACGAGGGTAGGACAAAAAAACACATGAAATTGAAAGTAATTGTGGTGTCCAAATATGTGGATGGTGGGGCAGGAAGTCTGGACAGCCCCAATTTCTGTGAGGGAAAAAAAAATTCCTTCCCAGTCCCATTTGTTTAGTGCCATCCAGCCACCAACAGTCAGCTCCTGTTACTGAATGTTACTCACATTTTACACAAGATATTGAAAAAAAAGATGGCTTTTATTCACAGAGACCTTGCTAGAAAATAACAAAGCTGAAAATCCCCAAATCCCTGAGCAAAGAAGAAAGGCAGACAGATAAGAGCTACTGAACGTGGTTTGATAGACCTAGACAATAATTCCTGAAATGCTACAGCAGGAAAATACATACATATTATGCACTGAGCTTACTGGACTTGCATCAGATATTTTAATGGGTAGTCTTTTATGGTGCTTCTCATTAGTGCAGTCAAAAATCTCTTCACAGAAATTAACTCTTTTTCATCTAACCAAATAATAAATCTGCAGTAGTAAAATTATTAGGAATAGAGATTTAAGCTGATAATGAACATTCTTGAAAAGCGAGGTGTGTAAAAATTGGGTGGCTAAAATTCAAGTGTGCTCCTAAATATTTTACTGGCATACTCAAACGAAGAATTCAATACTTAAGCTCAGTTTTCTTCTAGGACAGCATGTAGTCCTTTTGTCTGCTTCAGGCATTTAACTGTGAAAGCACCAAAGTATCCAAGCATTGTATAAGGTTAATGGAGAGAGGGGAATTGCTGAGGTCATGTAATTACATGGATCAAGTCCAACTGTTGAGGCTTTATATAAAGCCATACTTTTCAAAAGTATTCTGCAGTTTTGCAATTGACTGGCTCCGTGAATGCAGTTCATTTTCTTTATAACTCCCACAATCTTTAATCACCCACCACTGCAGATTCCATTTAATACAGTTTATTTGCCAACGACAGAAAGAAAAAATTTAGATGTTTACCAGCAGTATAGCAAGAATTATTCGGATAAGACTGTGGCATATTTTGGATGCAACGAAATAATGTGACCAAGCTGAGATCATCACCAAACACGTGAGCTTTCTTCCTCTGTATTAGATGTCCCATTGCAAATGTTGTATCAGTATATAAAACCTGCAGGATGAAGAGGTACAGACCTCAAACATTTTGTATGGAGACATTAGAAATCCTTTAAAAGCCAGATGCTGAAGTGAATTGAGCTTTCTTACCTGGCCATATATGAAAAAATATCCTGTTTCTTTGATCACTATTTTATTTCCCTGTTCTTCCAGAGCTGTTCCACGCTTAAAGCTCAGAAGCCAAGGGACAATGCTTGAATCATCTAAAAGAAATAAGGATTTTGAAGTAATCAAAAAACAAAATAGAACACCAACCCACAAATTCACTTCCCTAGTTTTCATCTGCCAAAAGTTAAGAAAGCTGACTTTCAGTTAAGACTTCCAGTCTCACTGGATTTCCCCCTTAAAAGAGGATATTTGCAAGAACCGTCCAGATGCAGAGACTGCATTATTTTATTTTATTAATTTATTTTTAAATCAGGCCAGATAACTCATTTATTGCTTTGAAGCTAGCTAAAATAGGGAAGAGAGCTAAGGCATGGAAAAGTTAGCTATCAACCATGGAATATATTCCTACCTTTCTGTTGGATATCACTTTTGCTGTCTGCAATCAGTTGCAAGCAGGCCTGCAGCACTGCAAAGTGAAAGCATACAAATCATTTGTAGAACACAATAAACTTTTGAATTGCATATTAAAAAAAAAAAGGATGAACACACAAAAAAATTCTTAGTCTCAACAATTTGAAAACAGAATCTTTCTACTAATTTCAAGGTAGGTCTTACTTAAACATGCCAGGACAAAATTCATACTGCAGTGCGTACTTCTCTCAGAGAACATGCAGGTAAGTGTGAGCCTCAGATATTGGCATAAATCATACTTGCCTGTTTTAATCTTTGGTCCTAATATAGTTTACAAATGCAGCAGTAAGTCAGATGAGGTAAGAAACATAGATCAGTTAGCTCTGTTAATTTTCAGTGCAAAAGCTCAAAAGACTCCAACCCTGTCAGCTATGAGAGATACCGGATTTTCTAATGATACTTACTATATTACTTAAATTAGTTTCCAGTTATGGATTCTGTAAAATGTTAATGATATGTATTGGCTACGGAGTAATTTCAAAAATAGCAAGTGTAAACTCTCAAAATCCATCCAGATTTTCAGTACATCCAGATGTACTTTCAGTGTATTTTTCAGTCCTTCATCCTGTACACTAAGAGGGAAAGTACAGAAATGACTGGTAGTAAATAAGTGCACAGACAACAAATACCTTAGTATGTGACAAAAAAAAAATGAAGTATTACTCAAAACTGTAGAGGCTGAAGATGCTAAAGAGTAAATAGGATATTGAGCTGTGAAAAAAATACTGTGCTATTTTGAAATAAAAGCTCCAGAGTGATTTGAAGATATTTAAAAACTAAAAGTAAAAATCTGCTAACCTCTTCTGTCAGTATACAGAATAAAAGACAAAGGGATAGAGTAGATTTTCATGAGAACATCTGCTTGTAGGGGTATTCTGAAGGCCAGAAAGCAAAGTTGTCACATTTACTACACTCTTCAGAAACAAATGCAAAGTTAAAAGAAGAAAATTCTGCCTTAGATTGCTGGAACTCTATTTTTGCTTGCCTTTTTTTTTTTTTTCTTTTTTTTTTTCCCCCTCTCTCCAATAAAAATGCTATGGGCCAGATTCAAATACTCTTCCTATAAAGGGCAGTGCCCTATTCCATGAGATCACATTTCCACAGCTGTCAGTGGCAGCCCTGTGCCAAACCATGTGCTCATCGGCACCCACCTCTCACTGCACTGTACGGAATGACAGGATTGGAGAAGAAAGCAGCCTCCTGCACATACCTAAGTCTCCTTTCAAGGAGGATGTCAGCAAACACCAGAGGAGGGCTAGGTGCTGAACAGCATGCCATTGGCACTGACAGACAGTGGGAAAAGATTCAAGTGTGGGAATGCTTCAAAGTTTCAAGAACCAAAGAACCCTAACGGAGCCCCACTGTCATTAACAGCACTATCTCGCAAACTCCCATTCTGGCAATCAGTCCTTCCTATAGGATGCCAAGAAATCTGTGGATTTTTAAAACAATAATTTAAAGGTATCTAAATTTATAGAATCATAGAATGGCCTGGGTTGAAAAGGACCATAATGATCAACTAGTTTCAACCCCCCTGCTGTGGGCAGGATTGCCAACCAGGCTGCCCAGAGCCACATCCAGCCTGGCCTTGAATGCCTCCAGGGATTCCCTGCCTTTTGACAAGAAAAGAAAGCTAAGTCAACAACAACAAAAAGTCCTATACTTCATTATTTTTTTTAAATCTCAGTTGTGACAAAATGTTCTGGAAGAGAAGCTTCCAAACAAAAACAAAATACGATTTTCTGGAATTGCACAACAAAGCACATCAAGCAATTTATTTCACAAGGTATTCATTGACTCCCCCTTGGAACAAAGTGCCTTTCTGGTGAAGGTAATATGCAGGTTCCTTACTATTTCAGCAACCCAAATCAAAATTTTCATTCCTGTTTTCAAGAGAACTCATCAGTGTCGTCACTGGAATTTCCACTAATCAAACGAGAGTAAACAAGATTTGTAATCCTGATTTGTGTTTGTTTCATTGCAGAACTGAAATACTAGTCATCTTTCCTGAAAACTGCCATGCAGTAATTGAAATCAGCAAGTTTGGTACAGTGTGAGAACTTTTTTATATATTTTTAAACACTTGAAAGTTCTGCTGCATTCTGCACAGATCTGATGTCTGCTCTGTGTGACAGCGACAGGGCCCGAGGGAACGGCATGGAGCTGTCAGGGGAGGGCAGCTGGGGGAAGGGAAAGGGGCTGCACCACAGCGCCGTGGGCATGGAGCGGGATGCACAGGGCTGTGGGCACGGACCCCAGTGCTGGAGTTCAGGGGGCATTTGGACCGTGCTTTCAAACATTGGGTTTGAACGTTAGGTGCTCCTGTGTGGAGTTAGGAGTTGGTCTCTATGATCTTTGTGGCTCTCCTTCTGCTCAGGATATTCTACGATATCAAATCTACGTATAATCTCCCCTAAAACATCTTTTTGGTTAGCACAGAACCCTTACTCTTCAAGGCTGAACTGAATAAAGTGAATTTAGTTGTCAGGAAGAAATATGGATATAGAAATGTCATTCATGACAATAAAGAAAACAGAAACCAGCACAGTGACCATTTTATCTAAAGCCACAAAAAGTAATTTCCTAGAAACTATTTGGGGATTGAACAGCAACATGCTTTAAAAACAATTGCTCAGAAGCCATTTCTAACCCATAACTATTTCCAATCACAGATACAAGTACTTCACTTTGACCTCGGTGGAACTATATATGTGCTTAAAGTTAAATAATTCATTGAAACAAATTCAAAGCAAACAAGTTTACCACTTATTAAACATAAAACATAAAAAAACATAGAACATAAAAAATGGATATACAAAGTTTATTTTCTGGGGAAAGTAATAGGAATTTTCAGTAAAAATACTGATGTTGTTAAGAAATGTTAAAAATTCCTAGAAAGACCCAGGTCTTACCTGAAGTACAACATAATATATATATATATATGAGCAAATATGACTTGAATATTTACTATCACTACAGAGCTGAGTAAATAAAAAGCTCAACCTGAACATCCTTCAGTTCAGTGTAGATCAAACCTGAATGTCAGTTTTGTAGTCTGAAGTATTTGGGGACACTTAATAATGTAAGCAGAAAACATAACTAGTAAAATACTTCTTAAAAATGTATAAAAAGTATCTAAAGTGAGCATCACTGGGAGGATTCACCGTACAAAACAACGTGTACCTAGAATAGCAGGAGGTCGGTGTGCCCTGACCTCTTGATTTCAGACAGAAGTTTTGCTTTGATGGGAATTCTTTTCTTGTGATGTAAACTGTGCTGCAGTGTGTGGGTGGGAGAAAAACATTTCAGAATCTTCTTCCATGAACAAAACGACCAATTCTGAAGAAGTTTATGCCTCCAGATGCCCTTATAAACCACAACTAGCATATGAAGGGATGTGTTCTCCACCATCTGAGCGATGTAACCACAGCTCTGAAAAAAAAAAAAGAGCTATCTTTTGTAGAAGGATAAGAACTGAGCTTTCTGCATATCTGCCTAATTTAAGACACGATATCCGTGAGGACAAATCCCCCCTCCCAGGCAGGTTTTTGAATCGTTTAACTTCCATAGCCTTTTTAATACCTTGCAATCTAACTCCATAATCCATTCAAAGAAAACAGCAAGTTTGTTATATGCAAACTTGCACATAAATTTTTAAGCTTCAGTATCCGAGGCCTGAGAAACCCACCTCAAGTTTTGCTGAAGCAAAATATAATTTAAAAAAAATCTGAACTTTAAAAAACAGACCTGCTTGCTTAGGTTCCTTCTTTGGTCATGGTCTGTTCTTTGTTGACTTCCTGAAACATGCTTAAATACTAGATAATTTAATTTATAAATGATATGCATGTTCTTGGATGATGTGCAGCTTTTCTTCCCTCAGGTTATTCATTTCTTATCATTAGATATCTTCCTTTTCTTTCTGCTTGTGCAGGTTTATAGACTAGTTTATTTATTACTTTTTTATCAACAAGTCTTTTTGTGTCATTAATCACGGATTAAATCAATCCCAGCATCAAAATTGCATTAACAAATGTGACCCAGATCTTCGATGTCTTTGAAGTACTGGTAGCATTATTTTGATCTTTAGTGTGTGTAGTTACTGGTGACTAGAGTCACCAGTAACATGTTAGAATCAGTGTAGTAAGGAATAATTTACTAACATTTAAGAATAGTTTATATAGATTTCTACTATGCAGTAGAAAATATCCTGTGTGTTTTAGATTGCACAGCAGTCTGCATAATACACAACACTGATTCATTCATTCAGTTGATGGAATCCTTCAAGTAAAATTGCAAGCAGTGAGTAAAGTCATTTTCTACCCTTTCTCACTGAAGGGCATACTTCCTTTAGAGATGGCCTGTTGTCAGCAGAAACTAAAAAGAATAACGTCTTTCAAGAAGTAAGCTTTTAAAAATGTATATATTAAAAAATAAAAAGAGAACTCTTATGTTTCCCCTCTTTGAACAGCCAAATAAGAAGTAATTTGAGTATTTGGTGAGGGAATTTCATGCAACATTTTTTTAAGGCTAGTAAGAAAATGTTAGCTTTTCTGACTGAAAGATCTCTGAAATCAAGTTCCATCCATAAAAGTTCATGCCATCCCTCTGTCACGGAGACCTGTCATGTCACTGGAGGTGTTCAAGGTCAGGTTGGATAGGGCCATGGGCAGCCTGACCTGGTGGGAGATGTCCCTGCCAATAGCAGGGGCTTGGAACTGGGTGGGCATTCAGGACCTTACCAACCTAAATCATTCTGTGATTCCATGATTCTATGAAAAAAAATAAAGTCCAACTGGTTCTAACCAGAAAATGTACCACTCTGTGGATGGAAATATACCAATTTGCCATAAAGCAATTGTGAAAGAACAGTGGCAAAGGCGATGCCTTCTCACAATTTATACCCTATGCTTTTATGACATTAGTTGTTTTGTGTGAGTGCAAGTGACACGGGAGAAGAACTTGAGAACTGCTAGTGAAAAATTACCAAGTCAATTGCTGGCTTGTCCTCTTTCCTTGCTTTGTGAACTTTGGATTTCTCTTCAGTTCCTTCCATATAGACAGTCATACTGTTTGAAACGGATAACCTCAATATCCTGAAGTAAACAACCACAGGCGCCCTGATCTGATCAAAGCAGAACTTTTCCTGAATTTAACTTTACAGAAGACCTGATGCTCACCTTCCTAGCTGACTGGGAATCAGAACATGTAGTGATGATCAGAGCTAGACACCTAGAGAGTGTGCAAATTAAACTTTGTACTCTGAACTGCCTTGAGTAATGAGACCTGTATTTTGATCCTGGACTGAAGAACTTAACTTAAGAACATCTCAGACAGCAGCATGCTGGCTAGGCAATGTCACAAAGTAATTGTGACAAGGTCACAAGGAAACAGGAGGGGTTTCTGTTCCAGCTTTCCTCTACCGGCAAAATTTTAAAAAAGACAGGCAAAAAAGAAAAAGTGTCTCTGTTCCTAACAGTCCTCATATGACATCTGCTAGAAGTGGTTAGATGATCTATCTGTCTGCATATTAATAATCCCCCACTACCTCCCACTCATTGTATCAAAAACTCTTGTTCTGGCTGCTAACTGTACAGTTTTATTTGGAACTAATGCTCAAAAAGCATTCCTTCAAAATACTTGTGCTGGAAATTTTCTCAAGACACAAAATGTACAAATACTGATGACTAATACTTTTATTCATGAACACTGACTAACAACTAGCCTATAAAAATATGAAAGAACAGCATTGCATTGGATCTATTTTTGTTCCATTGTCATTTTAATTAAAATTGTAACTTGTGGCCACTTTTATGTAAGTGGAAGATTTGTAACATAATTCTTTTTCATTTATTTGTATACAAAGCAAGATATTTGGATAACTGTGCTAGGAAACAGTTTTGTAGTAGATCAGCCTATGCAGGTTTTCTGTTTAGAATAAATGTCCATATTTATCCATATCCATGTTACCCATATACATTAATTTGAAAGCTTAATTAGAGGCTCAGATGTATGGATATTGTCAGAGGCGGTTGCCTGGGGAGAAGAATTTTAAGCCTGCAAGCAGCAGAGCTGAGGAACCCAAAACTTTCCTCTCCCCCGTGCACTCTCAAATAGCAGTAAGAATGAAGATGAAAGCTACTGTGAAGGGAACAGAATAACTTGCAGATTGCTAATGCCTGCAACATTCATTTAAAAGAAGACAAGCCTCCTTATGTTTAGTGGTAGTTGTGATTTAGGTATAAAAGTTGACAAGTTTTTATTTGGGAGGCACTAGGGTGGGGAGGCTCTGCGACTACCACAGCAATAAACAAGCTTCAAGAAAAATGATTGAAGCAATCTCGTCTTCAATCTTATTTGCGAAATCACTGTTAACCAAGACCCTGGACCAATGATTACTAACGTAATAGAATAAACTGCATTTGAGCCTATGGAATTTAAGTCATATTCTAAATGAATATTCTCTTCTGAGAGACTTGGAGGTTCATAGAGTGATTGTGCTATAGAATTTAAATTTCAGTTAGCTCTCTGAATCCTAACATTTCACATTAATTAATCAAAAATACATTTTAAGCAAACTCTAATTTAGTCTTTAGCTACAAATTATTTCATTTTACCCTTAATCAGTAATTCAAGATATCAGCTTCCATCAGTCAAAACAGTCTAAAAGTATCTAAGGAGACTGAACTGATTTAGCAACTCAGGAACATTTTTACTTACATTCAGGGTAATTAGAGTATGCAAACTGCTATGTTGAAATTCAACGTTTCATTTTATTGTACATCAGTGTATTTGGAAAGGCAAAAAAAAAAAAAAAAAAAAAAAAAGGAGGAATTGTACTCTTGGAGAAAACAATTCTATCCCATTAAATACATCAACATTATAATATACATCAGAGGTGTTTTATAGAGCACAGTATTTGATATTTGCTACAGCACCTTTTAAAAATGCCATAGTATTAGCCTTATTGCATGGGCATGCCTTTATTAGCTTTGTTAATTATATTAATAGATGGTTTTATGCAAAGATGATTCTAATCTTTGTAGTCTGCCTTTTCAGACAGGTATAAGCTAGCCTTTCTCTTTGAAAGCTCCTACTTCCCTAAAGTCAAGGAGCTTCATTGCTACTTCTCTCTTTTAGGATGTTTTCCCAGAAAAATGACTTGACAATTTTTAATACTAGCTTTCCTTCTTTAATATTCACCAGAGAGAAACAAGTCAAGCATTGCCCCGAACTGCGAATGATGGATTTAGAATCAAGCAACTTCCAACATGAAAAAATTCAAGTTGCCATACACAGCTCTACTGTTGATCATTGAGAAATACTTCAGTCACAAGAACAGGGAACCAATGTTCAAAATTCAACCTGCAGACAGCAGGAATATCTGGTACCTTAAAGAGTGTGGTAGTCAGCAAAGCAAATGCAGTTCACATGCAGTTCATAGCATCATTTAATAATTACTACCTATAATTTTATAATTATAATAAGCTTTCAGAGCAGTACTCAGCTTACAGGAGATGCGAGCCAAGCATTGCTGCTTGTCTCCAGAAAGCAACCAGCTGCAGCATCCCCTCCCACTCTGCCCAGTGCTATTTACCTGTTTCTTCTGCGTGGACAACAGACCTTCTCCCCCTGTTTCTGCCCCCGTCCCAGATTTCCTTTTGGAGACTTTCAGCTGGGCTAGGGCCAGGCAGCCTGTTCTCCTAGCAGGGACAGACAGCAGTCAATATGAGCAACCCATCTCCTGCAAGTTCATCCCCTGCAGCCATCACGTAAGCTTACCTGCCTGGCGCCAGCTGCAGACACTTGCAGGAAGGAAGAAACAGGGGCACCTGCTTTCTTGTCACCAGGGGACACGGGTGGCTGCTCTAGCGGAGACCTTGCCTGGACCCTGTAGATCAGCTCACTGCGCAGAGCTTCTAGCTCTGTTTTCAGGGTGATAGCATGGTAAAGAGACACTGCTGCAAGACAAGAGGACAGGAGCATTGCAAGCCACAGGAATGTGACAGAAAAAAGTCCCGTGGTGCCTGAAGCAGCACCGGGGGGGCCAGAGGGAGAGGAGGCGGTATCCTTCTGCTGGATGACGTGCACACAGTCCACGGATTTCATCGCTGCTCTTTCCTCACTAAAGCCAGAGGGAGAGTTCAGCTGTCCCCTTCCGTGGTGCAATCCATGTTACCCGCTGCTCTGTGAAACTAAGGGCATCCAGAATAAGTGAACAAAACGCCCAGATCATTTCCTGTCATATGAAGCCGTTGATACAACCATTAAACCTAATGTACAGAGCGAACATCTGATTCAGTCTCCGTTTAGCTTTCTTCTTTCCGCACTGCATTGTGGCAGTGAGTACTTTCTGATGAGCTGCTTGCTCAGTCTGCCTTCCTCCTTTCATTTTCAGCTATTTATTTTTGTGGCAACTTGCTTTCACCATTTCCCATTATCTTTAAATTTAGGCATGACTGGTACCATGGGTATTTAAAACCTTATCTAGAAGTGCAGAAACAACGTAAGGTTTCTTTGCAGCATATCTCTGAGTGCTACTGAAAAGAGATAAGCATATGACGTTATGCACGCCTGTAAGTATATACATATATGTATATAATATTATATATATATGCATACATATCTGAAGTGACTGTAAGCTTACAGAGTGGCAATTTATCGAAATACCGAGTTTTCTGTTTTCCTAAACACAATGGTGAAAAATATTCTCAGGTGTGAATAACAATTTACTGGTCTCTCAAGCATATGAAGTGGCAGAGTCTGCAGTTCAATTCATCATGTGCTTGGAAAGGATGGCTTCTGAACAAACTAATCTGATAAATGAGACCCCACTGTGGAATTCGAGGACTTGTGCTGATGCTCATGCGGACAGAGAGTGAGGGAGAGGAGACCTAGAAGGAAGGGGAAAACTAGAAAATAAGAAGCAATTAGAGAGGGAGAAGAAGAACGGGGAGAAAGAAGAACCAATGGGTGTAGAAGGAAAATAATGCTTAGAGAATTTTGAAAAGGCAATATTAAACATGCACACTAAAGTTTTTCAGATGAATCCTCTGTGGATGGCCTCAGTTAATCTCTTTTTAAGATTTTACTGATCCTTCCATCTTAAACTCCTGCATAAGGAATTCTTTTCTTCTACTAAAACATCCCAAACACATAGGTAGACTTTAACTGCATGAGAAAGAGAGAGCTTTTAAAGGTCTGTTCAAATACTGTGCAAGTGAGCTGCATCTTCTGACCCTACCTGTCAGAACAGTTCAGATCAAGCTGATACTGTTGGGAAGGAGAAAAAAGGAACAGAAATAAAGCAAAAGAAAAAAAATAAAATTAGGTAGCCTCTCCTACATCTGTTTCTTAAGACTGTGGGAAATTGGTGTCATTAAAAGTTTTATCAACTCCCATTGCAATCCAAGGTATTCTTTTCCTTGCTTTGCCACCTCTAACAATTATTTAATATCCTGCATGGACTAGTCATTATTTTCCTAAAAGGAGAGAAAAAAAGAAATGCATACCACATACCTTAATGTGCTTCTGGAAGATGCCTGCATACCTTGAAAAGTGACACCAGTATACAGTGGAATGAGAGTGGAATACCATACCATACCCTGTATCTGTCTGTATCTGTTTTCAAGGCTAAGGTGTAAATGGTACATTTTGAAGGAAATTTAAGATGTATTAAGGTAGGTTTTGGCACCGAATAAGCTCTAATAATAAGTTATCAGAATTAAACAGATGTGCTTTGAAGTATCACTGGACATGAGAATGTTACCATTCTATTACTGTGTGCCAAATATAATATGTCAGCCAGAAAAGGCACGCTACATGAGAAAATGAAACAAATTGAGAAAATGAAAGTCATAACTAGCTGTCCAGGAATACTGGGAATAAATCTGCCAGTCAGGTCTCTGTGGTCATTAACATACAAGAAAATAGCTGACAGGTATGTAATTAACATCAATCTCATTACTTCTACAGCAAATAGGCTGTTTCCTGCTCCCACATCTTTAAAGGGGTTCGCTATTTGGGCTGACAATATAATTGCAGTGACACAGAGGTCTTCTGTAAGACATCTGGTTTCGGCTTGCTCATCATTCTGACAGATGAGAGCTTCAAGGGGGAGAGGAGGCAAATCAGAACAACCCACACATTGCAAGTTCTTAATTCAACAGGTGTTTCTATTCAAGTATCAAAGGGATCAGTCTGGTTTTGATGGCATGCTGTTCTACAGTTTCACAAGCATTTAAGTGATGAGAAGGGAAACCCAACTGCTGATGAATTTTGCAGAGACAGAAATGCAGCGGAACAATAGCAGTGAGACATCAGTCATGGGGGAAAAAAAGCACAGACTGCCTTATATACTTACATAGTTGTACAATTTAACATTTTATCATAGTAAAGCAAAGCTTTTTTAGGCCTCGAAAGGCATCAGAACAACATTTCAGAAAGTTGAGTTTAGAAAACAAACAAGTATGCTGGCTTCAGGGCCAAGCACGTGGATTTCATGGGCAGCTTGTGCCTTGGGCCAGGTCCTGTCACAGCGCAGCACAGCAGGCCTCACACTTGCCTTAAAAATGCCAGTAAGCTTCTGTTAACCTTCCTGTTCTGTTAACCTTACCGGCATTGCTTTAAGGCAGGTGTGAGATGCAGTTTCTTCAGCTCCTTAAGTCACAGTATTAGTAAAGTGGGGTGCTCAGATTAGGACTGCCCATTAGGAGACGTGAGAGGGTGTTGACTCCCTCTGAACACGAGCTCTCAATAGGATTTCCATGTTGTAACAGAAGTGGAGCATTTGGATATACATAGTGGAGCAAAATACTGTGCTAAAATAAGAGGCAGCCGTAGCTGTGCTTTTAACTAATCTGCACTGCACTTAACAGCGAAGATGGGTCAGAACAAAAGTCCAGAATGACTGTACATGTCAGAATGAGCTTATGACAGAAAGGGCATTCACTCCGTGGTTAGCAGCCTGCCTCTTGAAAGCTCTGGTGCAGAAGTTTGTGCCATGTTAACTGTTTGAGCTTAGGATGCATGCACTGTGCTACAAATCCCTGCAGTAAAGCCTTAGGGCAACAAGTGGCCACCACAAGCTCACTTCAGAGCACCTTTTTCCAAATGATTTCCAGAAAATAAAATGCCACCGCAGTAAACTGCAGTAGTCTACTCCTGGCCATACAACACTGGAAATAAATAGGATTAAATTTTTAAAATAAAGCTATTCTGAAAATATGGCCTATTCTACATGTGCAGTATGGCTGATTCACAGAGCATTCCAACCATTCAGTGCCACCTTAATCCAAATAATGATCTATGTTAAACACAGGGTAAGAGACTTTTCTAAATTTCACCAAAGAAACTTATTTAGAAATTGGATTAGCTGGTCTAAAAATTGTACTGAACCCAGACTTTTACTTTTGGGAGAAAGAGCACGAGATAGAATCATAAAAGTTGGAAAAGATCTCTAAGATCATCTAGTTCAACCTTCCACCTACCACCAACCATGTTTCTTAGTACCACATTTATAAGTTTCTCGAGGGTATAAGTCAAACTAAGAAGGGGTAAAAATAATATTTAAAAAAAACCCCAAAATTTGACCTCTGAAGATTATTAATGGTGAGGGTGTTTTGCTAGGAAATATTTGCTAGGTTGGATCTTCAAGAAAATGAAGACTGGCTAGACTTCTGAGAGATTACAGCTGAAACAAACTCTGTAATTTCTGCAAACAGCTAAATTCTTTCATTTCCAGTACACGGAATATCTGATTAAAAGGTCAAGATGGGCCCTGCTAACCTGTAAATGTGTAAAACATCATCATTACATCGGTGGGGAACCAAAGCAGAGATAGTGTGCGATTGCACAGGAAATTTGTGGTTGAACCAGAAACTGAACCCTTGATTTCCTGAAATCCAACACTGTACTTTAACCACAAAAAGCATCTTCTGCTTTGAGAGGGAAGAAAATCTGATAATGAAGTTTAATGTAAAAAAGAGAAGCAGATGATTTGAGTAAGAAGACCTGGATTTAAAAGAAAAAAAGAAAGAAAAAAAGAAAAGAAAAAGCTTATTGAAGAAATGTAAATTTACTTAAAATTATTACTCAAATGTTTAAATACTTAAAATACTTTAAAAGAAATTTAATTAAATGTTCAGTTTCTAACAGGGAGGTTGTACAGATGCAACATAGAGATCCAGCCAATATCAGTGATCATATTAAGAGTACATTTCTTAATAGAGGTCCAATATACTTCTGAAACAGCCACAAAATAGAACTGGTCCCTGTGGCTATTGCAAAAAGAAACCAACTACGGCACTTGCCATACTACAGAAGACAGGACTGAACAGATAGAGTACAGAATAAGCAAAGCATATGCATTTCAAGTCCTTTCTGATGATGGAGGAAAGGGTCAACTATTGCGGAGATTTTAGAATAAATCCTGTAGGACAGCTTTCTGCTGTTACAGTTATCTGTATTAAGATCGTTTATAGACAGCAATCTGAAACAGCATACATTATCCTTAAGGACTAAGTTCCTCCAGCTATCAGCCAGGATTTACATGTGGCTGAGTATTTACACTCAATTAAAGCTTAGGAAACTATTGAATACATTACAAGTAGAGGATGTGTTATGCAAACGTTTTAAATCTTATCTGATTTTACACGAAGCAAACATTCAACAGACTTGCAACCATCATTACTATTTGCATGGCTATTACAGTGCTTTCAAAGAGGGTAGGAAACATCACAGAAAGGAAAAGCAATTCCTGTAGGTGTCTCTTAAAATACGCAACAGAACAAAGAATAGAATAAAATCAAATATATAATTAAAAAGAAGAAAAAAACAGCAAAACAAAACAAAACAAAACAAAAAAAAACTCAAAAAAACCAAAGCACACACAATTATATACTATAGCACCTTAACTCCTCCTCACCCGCTCCCCCCATGATGCTATAGTAATTCTTTCTTACTGCACGGAGCAAAAGGAGCTCTGTCATACAGCTGTAGCTCACTTGTCTCGTAGCCTCACTGGTTTGGGTAACTAGCAACACGGAGTGTATCTCCAGCTCTTTGACACTATGCAACTTGACAGATTTTACACAGATGGGCTAGAAATGCATCTGTATGGCAGCAAAGTAAACAGAGAGCCATGGCCCTTCACATGGGAATGGTTGCTATTCTGCTGATGAAATTTGTGGACGCTTAATAGATGGAACAGGATGGGAATCCAAATATTTTCAAATCACAGCATTTCTCCATAGCTGCATCTATTTGCTACACTGTTCCTGAATCCTCAAGGACTGAAAGGGACAATATTCTGCCTGACCTTTTACTTTGTCTTCTTGTAAATAATTACCCCACACCAGACGTAAGCATAACGCAGAACAGCTGTAGAACTTCCTTTCTTTCCATCTTCAAGCAGCAAAATCTGCTTCCTAGCTGCTTGTCAAAACTAGCAGAAACATCTCTCTGGAACTTGGGCTAGAACACAGTTACTGTGTCTTTGCAGCATAGCATTGTTCAGCTCATCACTTAAGACAAATATACTGTCTATCCTAAGCTCACTGTTATGAGTGAAACCAAGCTCTGTAATGCATTAAAAACAAGGCTGCTCTTACTCTGCATTATTTTCAGAGGAAAGAAAACTGCCATTCTTCAAGACAGAGGAGAGTTATTCTGTCCCCACTCAAGTGGAACCATAACAAATGAATCACACTAATGCTTTCAGCACACTTCCAGAAAATACTCAGTTTATTTTTCTTATCTACTTACAGAAAGAGAACTCTTTAAAAAGTCTAAAACTAAGACCTTGAAAAGGGTCCAGCAAAGGATTTAATGCTCATTAATGCTCATTAACAATAATGAGAAACACAATGAAAAATATTTCCTAGGCGACATGTTCAGACCAACTCTCAGCTCTCCAGATAAAAAAGAAGTCCTGAAAGGCAAAAAGTGACAGAAAGCCATGAAGGGCTACCATCACTTTTATTTACTTACTAATGCTTTGTGAAAGCAAAAATGTGACAAAGCTTAGAAATAGACAGTTAATTTATCTTCCCTCCTATTTGTAATAACTTCTCACAAATGTCACCTCTAACAACAGAGATGACTATTTCATGTGCCCTGGCAACTGAAAATGATACCCTGACCAGGCATACAAAATTACCCTGTACTCATACTGAAGACAGGTCACAAACTAGAACAAGACATCAACAGCACTTTTAATGTATCAATTTATTGCATATGTCAGTACATAAAAATAGAAAAGTGGTTTTTGTAAAATTAATTTTATTGTAAAAACCAGACTAGAATGAGAATGTAAAACTTTGCCACAATTAGCACATATACAATAACATTTATGCTTCATCTACAAAACTTAAGAATATTTTATTATGACATTTTTCCATTAACTATACACTAAAGAAAAATCAAATAAGAGAGCGTGAATCATTTATTCAAAGGACTATTCCTGAATTCAAAACATGAGTGTTGTTTAGAACTTGAATATGCTTTCTCTATCTACACTTCTGCAGGATTCTACTCTGTATTATACAAGCAGGATGGCACTGTAAATTATTCTCAGTGGGATACACCAGGCTGATCCCACCAGTGCAGGAGGCACTGCTTTTGCATTTGACAGATGTATCCTTAGGAAAATCACTTGTTATTAACAAAATAAAAATATGCCTTTCAATAATTAAATTATGGAATAGAAATGGAGGTGCGTCTGCATCTTTTTGCTAATAGGAGAACATACCTTGGTATTCAGCCTTGTATACTTCATTAGGAACATTCAAGGTGACACAAATGATTAGCTAAGAGATGCTGATATGCATATTCTATATAAATAGTTAAGCCATTTGCCCTTCATCTGAGAGATTGTCCATAACCTACCAAATGCATTTGTGCTATATTTCTAATTTTACCTGAGAAATGGACATGAGGGCAGTTTTATCAGTTTACCTTTTTCTTTCATTCCCATCTCAAACCATAGCTTATCTCTGCATTTCACAGTTCAGAAGCAAATACCAGGAATGTAAACTTGGGTCAGCAGGAAGCCTCAAGTATTTCCACTAATTAATACCAAACACACAAGGTCTTGTACTAGATGATTCCTTACATGGACTCTACAGCTATAGCTGTTCAGCTCCATCACTCCACCATTCCTGGATTTTTTTTTTTTCCTTTTTTTTTTTTTTTTTTTTTTAAACAAAGTTCCTCTTATAAAAGGGACAATTCCTTTAATGAACATATTCAATGTGAAAGGCTTTCTTACAAATCTGTGAAAATAAATCAACTTCCTCTTCTCAAACTAGAAACATATATATACACATACAACAATCACTTGGGAAACATTTATACACAAACAGAGAACTGGTATGGGAAAACATATAATGGAATTAAGTGCAATAAATGCAATAGTATCTTAAGAATTTTTGGCAATATGAAATTATTACTATGACTCTTGCAATGTACTGTCTGAAAATGGCTTTCCACAGAAGACGACCATGAGTTGCCATCATACAGACCACAAAACAAAGCAAATCCTGTTTTGTCAAGCTACAAGATTCTTCTTTCTTTTCCCTCAGATCATATTTACAGCATTTGAATATTTGCATAACTACTTTCTTCCTGTCTTCTTTCAGTGGCTTTCATAGCCAATGCAATGAAAAACAGAATGATAATAGGCATTCATCTGCACGAGGATGCGTCCGATGTATTAAGCCCATTTTTGCTTCTTCCTCATATGGAAAGTGGAATACATTAAGTATGCATATATGATGACTGCATCTTCTCGGTATTTGTAAAACCAGATATCTTTATGTCCTGCAGACACTATGGTGAAAAGATATGGCTTGATAACAAAAAGTAAGGTTTAAATGCAGTGCACTATGAACAGCTCCTCTTTACTATAACCCAAGGCCACACAATTGACATTGACGTTAACTGTGGGCCCAAACGAGAATATTCATCTGTATGGAAATGCCACATAATCCAGAAGGCTGGAAGGGAACTGGAGGTGTTTTGGGTTGATGTTTTTGCCTGCCTATTTGATCTGTGCAAAGTGGAATAGAATCTTTACTTAGGAAATTCACATATAATGACAAATACAATAGTGTTTAATGGCAAGCTATGACAACTTTTGAAACAACTATTTATCTGTATTTAGTCTTCCAGTAATTTTTTTCTTTTCTTTTGGCTTTATCACTTGTTTTCAGAAAAAAGCAGTACACATCCACTTATTTTTCTTTCTCCCTTATCCCTCCACCTTAATTCAAAAGTATTATGAAATAACTGAAGCAATATATTATGGGTGACAGAAGAACCAGCACTGTTTTTTAAAACATCACAAAAAGAGAATGCTCCTCAGTCCTCCCAGATCAAATGGCACCAAAATCTTTTCTCCAAAAATCTCTGAAAAAAGAAGACCATTGTACATTTGAGGATATGGTTTGTCAAGTTCTAAGCTATACTTGGTCTACAATGATTTTAAGTCTTCAGGTTCAAAAGTGTCTACACCTTCTTCAACCATTTCTGAACAGATCTTAGTAATAGAATGACAAAATATACTTACCAGAGTTAGAAGCAAATTCTGGTATGTATGCTTGTTTAAAAAAGAAAAAAAAAAAAAATAGAAAGGGTGATATTGAAGTGCTTATAATAAAATAAGTATCATTATCTGTAATCTTGACAACATGCATGTCCACATAATATCTAATTCCATGTAAAAAAATTGGAGGCATAACTACTGAAGTACTAGTTCAGGAAAGCAGTTTTATTCAACAAAAGAACTTATGCTCAAGCTTAAAATATTCTGATGCTTTTCTGAATCACAGCATCATGGTGAAAAAATAATCTTATTTAAAAATTTCAACCTCAAGGGAAATTGTACAGGTTTGGTGTTGGTGGAAGACTTTTCCACAGCTCTTCCCATAAAAATTTCTTGAAGAGGCAAACTCTCAGCTGCAGCAAATGGGCAATTCAATCTATAGAATAATTTACACAACACACCCCATTAAACTGAACTAATACCATGCAAGATTGGAAAGATTACTTGGATAAAGCCAAAACCCAACATCGAGTCAGAATCAGGCTCATTCAGAGCATTGCTGGCTCTGATATGATGAGATATGATCCTAAGAAATTCCAGTATAACTAAAGAAAACTCAGTTCTACTGCCTATGCATAGGCTACTTTCACACCATGTGACAGAAGTGCAAAAAAAATTAAATTTGTTTTGTAAGCAAGAGAGTATTAATGTTCTCCAACTAATCTTACAGCTGTTAACGTGCTGCTCATCTTTATTACTCTTACTGTAATGCCAGTCTATGTTACTCCCCAACTGTAATCACTGGTATTTATTTAGATTTATTTATACCTCCAAAAGAAACAAAGGGCACGGATATTTAAAACCAAACACAAATAGGTAACTTGCGTGATGCTCCCTTCCATCACACTGACCACTCCGCCTTAGGAAATCCTACCTCAGGTATATGGGCTGACAACATCAACACTAACTTGCAGGCAAACAGATGAGAGATTTAGTTGGACAGGACCTTTAGAAGTCAAATCACACTGCTCTCTTTTTGAGTGTTACCTCTATCTTTTACGAAGAAACTGCCTGGGCAAAATCCACCAGCCATCATGTTCAGCCACTTACAACTTTATAATAAAAAGTGGGCCATACTATAATACAAACAGTAAATTGAAAACAGGGAAAATGTCATTTCCTCTTCAATTGCAGTTTGAAATATATATATATATGTGTATGTATAACTGTTTTAAAAAAAATAATGAAGGATGGTATACTTGTAAGTATACACTATCATTAATGTTATTGTACATTATTTAGCACATTAAAAGACTTCCCACCTTGCATAATATAAAATTTCAAGGAATAAAACTATCTCATGCATGGCACAATTTAAATAAACTCAAGAAGAAACAACAAATCATTGAGCTAACCATGACTGTCCATAAAGCTCACACATACAGCAGTGAAGCCTCCCATTGTTCTAAACTAACATGTTCTGTACTATTCTTGTAGCAAGTTTTTTTTTTTTTCTTTTAATAGCAACTGTTGTACATATCAAACAAATGGAGTATTTGGACAGATATCAAAAAAGTATGAGAAAGACATAAAATGGT